ACACTTCTACAATCAGACTCACACCCATCTCTTGAACTCCACCAAGTTGAGTCATCCATCAACTTACCATAAAAGTCCTAAAGTAGACAATAAACCCCACAAAATCCAAAAAGCAATTAACTTTCTTGATCACGAGGAAGAGAATACCAAAGGGGTGGAAGATCACTTTCAAGAGGAGGAAAAAAGTAAGAGAATGAGAGAAAGAGGACTTCATGAAGATCAAGTTATGATCAACCAAAAATCAAGTAAAGGGGGAGTACTATTTCATAATCAAGGGAATAATTTACTAAATGAATTTTTGAGTTAAAAGGGAGCCTTTAACCCTTTTTATATGATGGAAATTTCGTGGCCTTATTGTACACGTGAAAGTGCAAGACACTTGACATGATGATGGACTATGATTTTGGACCAAAATATACCTTAAAGTGCAAGACACTTGATCACATGTGTGGTAGAACCAAGAGAATATTTTATAACTTGTGGAGACATGATTCAAGACCCATAATCTCATTAGAAACGTTCTGGACTATCTAAGAATTACCAAAATTTGAGAAAAGGACCTTTTTGCAAGTAACATAAAGTAAAAGGACTAAGCTGTAAATAATGTAATATATGAGAAAACCTTTGCAAAAATTGTTGTTAGTATTTTATTCATGTAGATAGTTAAATTTTGAAACTTTTCCCACTGGTTTTACATTATTTGGATTTAAATTGAATTAATTATGATTTTTCTAAGGTTCTGCTGCATGAAAATAGTATTCTGGGGGCAATATGCCTTGATTCAATTTTGTTTCAATATATTTGTATGGAATTATTTTATCTCTATTTTTGTATAAAATTAGACTTGTTAATGGAACTCTTCTCACTAGTTTCACTTGATTAGATTTGAAACAAAATAGATATGAATTTTTAAAAATTATGATGTGTGAGAATGATTTCCTGAGAATAGCCTATTATAAACTCTCTTCGTCTTAAATTCCATACACAATATTATTTTATTTATATTTTTTACAAAATTAGACTTCATAAGGAAACAATTCTCGCTGAGTTTGCAAAAATTGAAGTTAAAATTAAATACTTATGATTTTCTCAATATGATGTTATATGAGAGTAACATTTTGTGCATGCTACTGAGAAACCTATTTTTGTTTTAAAATGTATAAGTGGGGTTATTTTATTATTATTTTTTATGAAAATAGAGACTATGAGAGAAATATCTTTGCTGGTTTCATTAATTTTGAACTTAAAATAAAATAGTTATGATTTTTCTATTTTAATTGATTCTAAGAAGTAAGTTGCTGTGAGTAACAGAGAATAATTTGGACTGGTTATGAAATATGAAAGTGATGAATTTTTACTTGTATTTATGTGCAAAACTATATAACCAAAGTGAAGGAATACCGTTGGTTTCATAAATTTTGGTGTGAATTGAATAACTTATGATTTTTTCAATATGTTGTTGTTAAATTGTGCTATTCTGTGACTTGTACTAAGAAATTAAAGCATGAATTGATGTTTGGGAATATTTTGATTTTGGAAGTATTTTTATATGGAAATAAACATGTTAAGGAGAATAATTTCATTGGTCTCATGTGTTTTGGATGATAATTGAATTTATTATGAATTTTACAATATGCTGGCTATTTAGTGAAATGATATGAGAACAACAGAGGTAAACTGAGACTTGATTGATTCTTTGGAAGTTTTTATATTTTGACTATAATTTTATATTACTGTAGACATTTAAAGGAAGAAATCTTGGTGATTTCATGCTGTTTGGACTTGTATCAAATTAGTTATGAATTTTACAAGTTAGTTGATGAAATCTGGAAAATTTTTATTGTTAGCCATGTCCATGTAATTGATTGTTCTCTTAAAATAGATATGTTATATTGTACCTATTATACAATTAATGACTATGATATTATTTTTGTTTATGATTGTGAAAGAGGTTGAATAGGCCATAGTACAGGCGAGGAGCAAATAGTGTTGGTCTTACCATAGGGGATAGGAGAGTGGCCAAGACTTACAGGGTACCCAAGTCTAGTTAACTTGTGTCATAGGCAGTGGGAACTTTGCTAGCCTATCCTAACAGATACTAAAGCATACCAAGATTGGTTTGAGTTTGGGCTGCTAGTAGTAATCATAAAATGAGAATTGTGTACTTATGTTCTGTCTCCAATAAAAGGAGAAGATGTACCTATGACACTAGCTGAATTGCAGATATGGAACTCCCAATTTCAACTTGAAAATAAAATGTTGGATAATTAATTAATTACTCTATGGAGAATTTACAAATAAAAGACATTGAATGATTGTTCTTTGATGCTTAAATGTTGTAACACCTTAATTTAAATTTCCTAAATAAATTGATTTCACAATAAATGGGAATAAATAAAATTTCATTCAAGGATTCTTAATATGTAGTTTGATAAAAGTATTTCAAAATAAGGATGAATTACAATTTGAATCAAGTAATTGCTACAAGACTAGTTTAAATACATTAGAGTTTTCAAAATAAACTTTCTTAGTCCTATAGTAGTTTCATCCATCCATTCACTAAGTTCGGTGTTGATCGTCTTGGTCACTTGAAAAATAAACGTAAGGGTGAGTACTCTACACTATCACACAAACATTTCAAGTATAAGGTCTCACCTTGCCCACTCCATATATTTTTTAACGTAATTTAAATCATGCATCAACAAGTACAAGATAATAATCTCATCAATTCAAACTCATTCACACACAGGTGCACTCACTGCGCTATCAAATAGTTCACATAAAACACCCACGTGCTCACTGCATGTTAGCCACGCTCACTGTGGTACTGTGATCACAGATTCCTGATACACTCAACCTTAGGGACTTACTCAGTTCACACCATGGATAGTCGCGCGAATAGCTCCTGCTTTGCGGATATAACATGTGTGGTTTTAAGTCCTCCCAAGCAAAGGTGTTAGTCAGAGGTTGAGTCAGGAGGAGAGTGTGACCTATGGTACACCTATGCTTACTGTTGGTGTCACCACCACCCTCTCTTCCCCAAGGTATTTCTACTGCCCCATCTTCCATACCCTAGTGTATCGTTGAACCATTCATAGTTTTTTCAACATTTCAAATGCAATCACACGTAGCATGCCATTCACACATTTTCGCCCATTTCATAATATCCAATATCAATCAATGGCATGTCTAAGCATTTCACTCACGTTATCAATCACATCATTATATTCAATTTCACACATGGCATGTATGCCCACATTCAATCACATTGTAACCAACCATTTCACTACACATCACACATAGTTATCAATCACACTACATTTCACACAATGTTCCCATGACAATCCAATCATAATCAAACCATTCCATCACACACAACACCTAACGACTATCATATCATATTTCATACGAAATTTCCATCAAACACACACTTTTCACCCAATGACTAAAAAAATTAGCTTATGCTAATTTAGTAAAAAAGTGATTTTCGCTTAAGTCAAAATTACTAAAAATTTCAAAACTTCATCTTCTTCCTCTCTAAACTATAGAAAATTTAAGGAACCTTTGCTTTTCATCAATGACTACCTAGTTATCAAAGACCCTTACATATATCATCCCACCAAATATTCTAAATGTATTATTTAGTGTGTTACTTGTGCTAAACATTAGTGAGGTAGAACTATTTGAAATCAAGTTAAATTATTGAGAATGATGATAAGAATTAAAAGAATGATAACTTTGAAAATTTGGTTGAAAAATAGTTGCATTATTATATGTTTTGAAACACTTAAGCTTTTGTGGTATCACTATAAAGTGTGATCACATGATCTTGCACAAATATTTCCCAACTTTTCGTAGTTTAAGGAAGAAGAAGATGAAGTTTTGAAAATTTTGCAAATTTAGTTTGAGCAAATATTTTTGACTTAAGCGAAAATCACCTTTTATCAAATTTGTTTAAGCAAATTTTGTTTTGCCTAAACAAATTTAAACAATAGACTGCAGAGGATTCGGATCTGAATTAAATAAATTGGTGCAATTGTTTTTCATTGATATAAACTCATTGAATAAATTCATCAAATAAAAGTATTGCCTTTTTCATTTGTTTCATCCATTTGTATACAAATTTTGTTATTCCTTTGAAACTTAAAAGAGCAAAGGATGCAATGGATGATGCAACATTTTCTGGTAACATTTTGCAATGAATTGCATTAAAAGAAGCTTCTATTATTTTTTTCTTTATAAGTTTGTGAGTTTTTCAGTTTTGAGGGTGTTAGAGGAAAAATAATTTGAGAAAGAAGACGAGGGAGAATATAATAGACTATTTATCCATACATTATTTATTGTTAAATAATTATTTTTTATTAAAAAATTAATTATAATCAATTTTTGTATATAAATTAAAGTGACTTCCTTACATGTAATTTTTCTTATAAAAAAAATTATAATAAATTTTTTATGCATAAATTTTTTATTATAAAAGTTAATTATAATTAATTTTTAATTGATAAATAAAATAATTTTAGTCAACTTTTTACATAAGTTAACATAAATTATAACTAAAATATTTTATATTAAAGTTGACTTTAATCGATTTGTATTATATAAAAAATAAAATATTTATAAAAATAAATTAACTTTAGAATCTATTCCTAATATGTAATTTACTTTACTTTTGCACAAAACCCTGTACTGTTGGAAAATGCAGGGTTATGAAAATTCATAAATTTGCCAATTGACAACGACAGGTAACCAAACATGAAGTCCTCGTAAAAGAAACAAACCCAGAAGCGTCAAATGACTAATTTCTAAATAAAAACGCATAAGCCCCTCTTTCTCCCTCAGCGTTTCCCTCCATTTTTCGTTTGAACAGTTGGCACATTGGTCTCTCTGGTTTCCCCTGTCCCTTACAGAGCAACCCAACCCAACACAACCTTTTCACACAAACGTTCTCTGAGAACAATTGCAACAAGAGTGTTTTCTTGAACAACCCAAAACCCAAGATGCCGGGTTTTCATCCTCGTAAGAGAATCACGCCAGAATCACCCACTCCTCCAGTTAGAAGAAGCTCACCATCCACCCCACAAGGGTCACCAGGATCACCACTACCACCCCCCGCCCGAAACGACACAGTTTCACCATTACCCGAGCAGGTCATCCATGACTCATTGTCTTCATCGACCCTCGCACGTACCCATCCAATGCTGTCACCACCGCCCGGGTTCCTGTTTCCCCCTTCATCACCACTTATCACACCACCCCTTAGAAACAAAGACAAAGATCCCTACTTCTCTTCTGCTTCTTCTTCATCTTCGCCCAACAAATTCAAACCCCCACAATACCCACAACCAACCTCCGCCCCTCCCATTTCTAATGAAGACGATTACATCGCTCTCTCCAATCTTGAAACGCTCAACTCACCCACCGATGACGATGTATCTCTCCACGCCTTGTTTGTTGAAGTATCTCTCAAACCTGTGTTTCCCCCCACCATCGACCACGCCAATGCCCCATCATCACCTTCCGCAAAATTGGTAGTGCGTTAAATGCATTGTTATATTATTAATTAATTAATTATCCATTTTTAGGTAAATGTTTCTTGGCACGTGTACGATGTTTCATTTCCTCTATTTTGCTAATGTCTCTGCCTTACAGGGCGCTGGGCTTGATAATCTTGGAAACACGTGCTTCATGTCTTCTATCCTTCAGTGTTTTACCCATACTGTGCCACTCATTCAGGGTCTTCGTTCTTGTACTCATGCTTGTGAGTCAGTATTTTAATTATTGAATTTTTAAGAGCATGCAATAAAAATTAATAATAAACAATGTGTTGGATTTTGATAATGCGTTATTTTCAACAAAAGTTTACTTCTGTGTGTTGTAGAACACGTACTAGAAAATCACCTAATCATTTCTTGCCTTTCCTCAATCATTTCTCGGGAATTTCAGGCGGTGAGGACGGTTTCTGTGGTTTATGTGCTCTCCGTGAGCACATTGAGCTATCCTTAGCATCCTCTGGATCATCTATTGCTCCCACTAGGCTTGTTGACAAGTTGACCTGTATCTTTTTTCAATCATTGCTTCACTGCATGACATGATTGCGATGAAATTATGCTCCTCACTGTTCGATCAGTATCCTTGTTAATTTGTTATGTGGTTGGGTAATGTATATGTGTTGTGATTCCATGACATGCTAACAGATTTTTCACCTTCTTTTAGAAGAGGCGAGCAGCAGGATGCACACGAGTTTATGCAGTGTGTCTTAAATAAACTACGAAGTTGTTTCCCTTACCGAGACGATAATCTTGTTGAAAATATATTTGGAAGTCGTCTTATTAGTAATGTATGGAGAAGTTAGTGCATTTTCACCTTTATGGTTAAATAATCAATATTGTTCAATAATTAACTTTGACTCGTTAATGGTTCAAAATGTTGTGTTTTAGCTCCGGTGCTGTAACTGTGGCTACTCCTCTGATACTTATGAGCCGGTGCTTGACGTGAGTTTAGGGATAGAAAATATGAATACCCTTCAGCTTGCACTGGAATCTTTCACCAAGGTTGAAAAGATTAATGAGAATTTTAAATGCGATGCCTGTGGGGAAGAATTGTCCACGGAGAAGCGGCTTTTGTTGGATCAAACACCTTTAGTTGCAGCATTTCATTTGAAGAGATTTAAGAGAGATGGGTCCTCTGTTAAAAAGATTAGTGGTCATGTTCAATTCACGTTGCAGTTGGACTTGTTACCTTATATCTCCGGTAACGGCAATAATAATGATGTAAGCGGTGTCTTTCATATATATATTTCTAGTTCTTGGCATTATTTTTACTTGTATTCAAATTTCTCTCTTTGAATTCCCATGTTTTGACTTATTTTTTATTTAATAGGTACCTTTGCAGTATGATTTATATGCAGTTCTTGTGCATCTTGGATATTCACTTAACTCAGGGCATTACTTTTGCTTTGTTCGATCTGACCCAGACAAGTGGCATAAGATGAATGACGCAAAGGTAGCATCATTACGAAATTCTCCCTAGTTGAGTTAATCGCCATGCAATTGATTAATTCATTCATGGTATATGGGATGATTCATTGGCTGTTAATTGTCTAGTTTCTCTTGGTCAAAAGTCTTCGAGGCATGTGTGCGCTAGTTTCTTTAGACGAGAATTTGCTAATTCTGCTTAAAAATAATCCTTAGACGAGAATTTGCTAATTCTCTCAAGTGGCACCCATTCATATATGATTAACTACCAATGTACTACTTAAGTTCTTATTATTTATTATTCAAAAGTTTCTTTAGTTGTGCTCATGATCTGATGATTGTGTGCGCTAGTTTTATAATGGTTAGTTTGAAGGGTAATTATTCTTCTTCAGGTTACTAGTGTCTCTGGTGATTCAGTGCTGAGTCAAGAGGCATATATACTCTTTTATGCACGAGAGGGTACACCGTGGTTTTCAAGTATTATGGAGGGTGAAAAGTCAGATCCGAAGTCATTTGCAGATCATAGACCTGATTCTGGGGATGAAGGATATTACGATGATCCCTTTGATCTTTATGATGACCTTGTCAGTGATATTGAAGAATTTGATTCTTCCAAGAGTTCCATTGAATAGTAGTGTCACGATTAATAGAAATTCATTTAGTGGTCTTGATTAAAACATACGTAAGGAAGCTTTTCATATTGAAGCGAATGAAGGTTTTTTCATCTAACCGTTGATACATTTTTGGGGGTACATTACAATACTTGATTCTGATACAAGCATTTGTTGATAATGGAATAAGAACCATCCTAGTCTAGTCCCAATGTCTCATGTATTCGACTATGCTCGTATTGAGGACCGTTTGAATTTTCTCACTCAAATAGAAAAATCATTTTCTTTTTCAGTTTAGAAATTTATTAAACATATTTCCATTGTTTGCATAAGTTCTTTTTAGAAAAAGCAAATAATACCTAGAGTAAGAAAAAAATAAGAATAGATCACAAATTATGTATATTAATTAAAATGTGATTCCTCCCGAGTAATGCTCCATGCATTCTCTCCTTGTATATCTCTTCACAAGCTGTACTCACACCCCTAATTACAACTATCTTACATATTTTGTCAACTTTGGACTTGGGCCCTTTTTTCCTGATTTCTATCAAACCTTGGAATTGGCTCTCAAGTTTTGGCAAAATTTTTCTTTTTCTTCATTTTCTTTCGCACAACACCAGTATTTATAACCTCCATATCGTTAATCATGATAAACACAGCAAGATATCTTGTAGTGAATGGAATTTTATTTTGTAGATGAATGTTCATAAGAAAATGCACTATATATTTCTCTTTTCTAACGTGTTTACTAGTGTGTAATTTGGTTCACAGCATATCTAATGCTACAAGATATTGTACGTTGTTCAAATGTATGAATGAAGTGGAAAAAAAAATGACGAAGAAAGAAAGCAATTGGTCCTATAATTGTTGGAATGAAGTCGCTTCAAATTGGTGATCACAGATAAAACTAGTTACTGTATCATATAGACATCGTTAGTGCTGTTCTCCGATAAGAATTGAAATTGTATCTTAATAATTTCATTTTAAAATATAATTTTATTTATCTTATTTATTACACCTAAATTAATAATAATAATAATAATAATAATAATAATAATAATAATAATAATAGTTTTTGATAAATGTTAATAACAGGAAAGACCACTTCCTAAAAAAATATATTATATTTAGTAATATACATATATATATAAATAAATTGAACATTAATGTGAAAGTGCATTCAAATTTTTTAATGAAATTCAATAATTATAAATTAAATATAAATTTTTTATAATAGTGATAATATTTGAACATAATGAAATAGAAAAGTGAATTTGTGTTAATATGCTGAAAAAGTTCATCCAATTTTTGCTCTTCTTCAAACAAGAATCAAGATTGAAAGGCAGCAATGATAAACTTTAGCAATCTTTTGATAAATACGAGGCTGAAGAAGAGGACCACATAGGAGCACCAAAATAATAAAATAAATGAAGGAGTTTTATTTCATTTGATTAGGGATTATGAAGGTCGGCGCAAACCATGAAAACCAACTTTATTTGTGCAATGGTTAGGAAAAAGACTTGGCATTAAGTACATGTTTAACAAGCTCACGAGCTTATGATTAGAAGCTAGAAAATTAAAGTATTAGACCTAAACGCGGATTTCCTCTTAGTTAAATTCTTTAATCAAGAAGAATACAAATTTACTTTATTTGAAGGGCTTTATTTCTTTTAGACCATTACTTATTATTAATTTAGAGATTACGTCCACATTTTAGACCTAAGAATCATGAAATTTGTAAGATTGTTGCCTCGGTTAAAATACTAAACCTTCCATTGGATCATTATAACAAAAAGTTTGTGGAAGATTGGATGATATATGCATTCAATTTAAAAATTGACAATAATTATTCTATCTATCACTACACCAGAAAGGAGATGTGAGAGCAATTTCATTTCAACTTACAGAGCATCTAAAATTGCTCTAAAATCCTACACTATCCAATGTGTTGAATTTAAGAAAATAGTTAAATAATTACTCTCAAATGTTCATATTTAAAAGCAGTTCTACGTGGAACTTAGAACTAATTTTAAAAGTTATGTTTAGAGGGTGATTAGCAATTCAAAATCTCACACTCCTGAGAGCGGTTTCATTTCAACTGTTCTCCAAACTCTACTTCTGAGAGCGGTTATTTGTGAACCACTCACTTAAGTTTAGGAAATTTTGTCAAATTCTTAATAAATTTGACATTATTTCAAATTTTAATGTATGTTTGGAGGGCAAGTGTACTCATCGAGAACTAATAAAAGGTTTTTAAATTAAGTTCCCGAAATATTGTCCCACAAGGATTGTTTTCTAATTACTAAGAATGTCCTAATTCAATTGTTTAAGTTTCAAAGATATAAGATTAATTAAAAGAAGAATTTATAAAATTAATTCTAAAATTATGAGCAAGGAATACAATGCACGTCTTGGTTAAACTTATTGGAGAGGAACCTAGGGCATATGGGTTTTCTCATTCAATCCTTTATGTTATTTTTCTGTTTAACTCTAAATCTGATTTTCTTGTGATTACCAATCATTCATACGAATACTATTAATACCCAATGGTCATGCAATATTAATATTCTTTTCTCTAAATTAACATTTCCAATGATCATGCAAGACATCAATTTATGAAAGCTTAAGGAACCTATGAACTTGTTAATTTAATAACGATTAGAAGAGAAAGATTGGTTTGGTCCATCTAATCCTTTGTCTCGTTTTACCTTATAGATCTATTAATTAACCGAGGTACGGTCGCCTGACGATATAATTAATTTGGATTAAGAAAGAAGCGCAATAGGATAAAATCTAATCATAAAACGAAAATCAAATTTAGATTCAAATATCAAAATTCCATAAATTCATGAAAAATAGTTCCCATAGCCCTAGCTATGGACTTAGTTACTCATGCTAAAGAAAAGAATTAAAACAATCATAAACAAAGCTATAATCAAAAGAAATAGTAAACTAGAGTATGAGATGTGTTTCCAGTCTTTAAGTATGATCGCTTGAAGCTCTAAGTCTCGTCAAGCATGTGCCAAGGATCCCGTGCAAGAGAGACGAGATGAGAAGTGTATTCGAAAGCCAAAGACTAGATGTAAAAACAGTCCATCTCCTTTTAATAGGGTTTGAAAACCCTAAAGACTCCTGATAATTGGGCTTCTCGCAGATGAGCACGACCGTGCAAGGCCTTAAGCACGACGGTGCATGGGCTCGAAGCACCCCATGCTTGTTGAAAGGGTCTGGGCGTGCTGACTGCTGCGAAACTCTAATCTTTTATCAATTTGGGCCCAAAACACACCCAAAGTATACTTGTGGCATCTTTATACCAAATTGCATAATTAATATATAAATTAGTGTGAGCACCAAATAAAATAAAGGTCAAATATGAATATATGGGTTGTAAAATAGAGCCTAATTACAGACTTATCAACTCCCGTATACTTATTTGTTTGCTTGTCCTTAAGCAAAGTGCTGGTTAAGAGAATAACATAATAACTTGAAACATAATACCACACAAGGAACCCGAGATGAAGGGGATAAAGAGAGCAACAAGAGTAATATCATTGAGCATAGCAATCAAAAGGATTTTCAATTAGAATCTATTTCCATACTTTTCACTCAAACATTAAACTGAGATACTCTACTTTCCTCTCTCACTAAAGGACAATAGAAGATATCACTCAGTTCTCTTGGAGAAAAGTGTACTACCATAGGCTTGACTATGAACCAACTCTCCACTAAATAAATTAAATGCAAGTGAAAATCATGAGGTCCTTTCAGGTTATAATGTGGCCAAGGGGTTATGATAATTTGAGGTGAGATAAATGAAAGAAAGGGGATATACAAAGGGTTAATAAATTATAAAAATTATAAACATCCCCTAAATTTACAAATGAAGCTCTTGGAGTAATTTTTATATTTTTGTATATGAACAATATCTTTACTCCTCTTTCCTTTCAATCATATATAACCCTTTTTCTTTTCTTTTTTTTTCTATTTTTTTTATTTTCTTTTTCATACTTTCTTTCTTTCTTTTTGCATATGAGAGATATAGATGAGAATTTATCAAACAATTCAACAACTCAATTGCTCTATTCATAAACTCAAGGTCATCAAAATATTTTATAAATTTAATGCAAAGGACCAAGAAAATCAATAAAGCTCAAAGTAGACAACTAGTTGTATCTCAAACATGCTGAAGGCCAAGAATAAAAATCTTATTATGTCTCAATCATATTAAAAACACGCAATTAAAAAGAGAAGTCTTAAGTCAGTTCCAAGTCAAGTTCTAGAGCACAAAACCTAAGGAGATAATCACACAAAACAATGAGGAAAGGGGTACAATTAATTAAATTAAGATAGAAATCCCCTTTAAGGCTCAAAACTCACATCTGTGGGTTAAAGTTTAATGTAGAGCATAAAAGTAAGAAACCTAGCTAATTATTAGTTTCCAAATGAAAGTATAATGCTAATAATAATCACTCAACATGCTCTTCTATCTGGAAAAAATTGGGTTCCATAAGGGAAAAAGTTTTAAATTATCATAAAAAATAGTATAGGCACTTTACTCAGTAACATGCAAATAACAATCATATAATTAGGAACTACTCCCCCATACTTAAAGCGAAACATTGTCCTCAATGTTTGAAAGCAATTAACTTAAAAGCATGCAAAGAGGACAATTGAATAAAAAAGAAAGAGGTTCCCTGATAATTCTTGGCGCGACGGCTTCGGGTGAGGGAGCACAGCCATGCTGAAATCTTGAGCACGCCCATGCTTATGATGTAAAACTTTCTCTCACAACTGCGACTCAATGCACAGCCGTGTATGTGATGAGCACGTGCGTGCTTCCAAATCAGAGCTCAAAAGTGTGGGAACAATCAACTCCGTTCTTGCAATCTTTCAATATACTTATTCTATATTCTAAAAATAAAATATAAATAGCACTCAATTCTCTTGGAGAAAAGTGTACTACCATAGGCTTGACTATGAACTGACTCTCCACTAAATAAATTAAATGCAAGTGAAAATC